AAATATTTTATTAAAATGTGTCGGCATTGTGGAATGCAATAAATAAATGCCTGCAAATCACACACAATAAATTCCGATTACAATTTCAACTCGTTTGCCAGGCGCTGTGTCCAATGCCTCGATAAGTTGTTTGATTTCCCCTTTTTTTCTGCATTTTCTTTACACACAATCTGCTCAAAGTGTGGCAAATAGTGGTGTGGAATTTATGAGACAATATGCGAGCATTCAAACTGAATGCTTTCCCTCATTTGGGCCACACACACACACACATACACACACCCCATTGCATTCAATAGGTAATCAGAGCGGGCGAAATTCGCTCTGCATATCGATTGCGAATGTGCTGAACCATAAAGCATATTGCCAACATAAAAAACAGAAAAATAAGAAAAACTAGCACATTTAATCGAATGCCGTTGTTATTTAATCAATCGAATCGATGATATATCAGCAAAGCAGCAACTGAACTGAATGCACTAAATGGAAATTTCATTTGCAATCACTCCAATTCCATTTGAGTTGTGTTTTTTTTTTAATATAAATTTGATAAATTCATGTTTCAGTGACGCTGCCCTAACCTTGACACTGTTGCCTCTCTGCGAATTTAACCACGCGCAGCCCACATAGATAAGCATTCGTCACAATTACGCTTAATTACCTGAGCGAGCGAGGAGCGAGCAATTTAAAAGCAATTCCACGATCATCAAATGACACCAGCCGACGAGCTCGGGCCTGCCCAAGCGTGAAACAAGCGGGTGAGTAAGCGGCGCAAAATCATATTTTTAAGCACTCTACAGATGGACAGATTAGCATCTTGAGAGACAGCTAAATAACAGCAGTGATTTATAGGTTTAATATGTTCTATTTTTTTTTCGAATTTACTAGAAGTTTTATATATAATATAATATCAGTCTAATATTAATTACTTCAGTTTCATGTGCCATTCGAAAACCTTTTTCTAGAACAATTTAGTCTTCTTTAATGTTTACAATATACAAATATTTATGTCTACATAATGTATGCTAAAACAGATACTTCTCTTGCCGCATCCCTCCCTGAAACTAGCTCAAGAGCTGAACAGTTAGCAGACATAAAACGGAAGTCAGTTTAGCTTCGCCAATCCGTCAACTTTGACCAAGTTTTTTTCTTGTCTTGGCTGTTTTGTTATTTTGCTGCCAATTAGCTTTTTTTTGCCATTTAAATATGACTGAGTGCCTAAGCATTGCCTTAAGCAAATGAGCATCGTCATTTAAAATCTAAAAAAAAATTAAAAAAGTATATACACCTAAAATTATATATGTATATACAATTTTTTATTCTTTTTAAATATCTATAAATATTCTAAATATTTCAGAAGTCATTAGTTGACTTTTTATGCTTAATTCCTTTAGTGGCTAATTAGGATTTATGCAAAATTTGGAATTCCCCTTCACCAGGCTGAGCAAGGTTTAATTTTTTTAATTTAATATGCATGCCAATTGAAATTTCTACTGAATTATTGAATCTACGACTACTTGCTCTTCTGGCAACCATTCAATAGAGCAGAAAGGTTCGATGGATTGAGACAATTGTGATTGTTGCATGAGGGAAGCCCTAGAGCTGGAAGACTAGTTTGAAAGGCAAAAAAAGGCTAACTAAACAAATAACTAAGCTTAGATTAAGTGGGCTAAAACGTATCAAATTCGTAAGATGAGATCAGCTTCTACTTATGCTATAAATATATACATGCAATAGCCAAAACATTCTACATTCTATAAGCAAAAATTAAAAGACTTTAACCAATTTCTGATTTTCAATTTCTGGTTGGCAATTTGCGGAGGAATGGAGCTACGTACTTATAATGCCCTCTGCTGCAGTACTGGGAGTACAGCTCTTTGATCACAAGTTCAAAACCATACGAAATTGATGGCTAATCATTTTGGCTAATTGCAAATTGCATTCGTTACATGGCAGCAGCATGTGACAGCCGCAACAGCCACACCCACCCCACCGCCCCTACCTTCAGCCGTGTGTCAGCTGCAGAGAAACCGCAACAACATATTGCTGCTGTGGCTGATAATGTTGGCGTTGGTGCTGAGGTCATTGCCGGAAATTATAAACATTGCGTGCCGCATATGAAAATCTAAAATGGGAAATCGAAAAAGAGAAGAGAGCCAAAAAAAAAAACAAACTAAACGTGTGATGCGCACTTGAGGCAAACTCAAGTGAGCAGCGTCAGCCGGAGCTAGAGCCGGAGCCGGAGCCGGAGTCGGAGTCGGAGGCAGAGCTATTCAATGATGTATGCAAACTTTGTCTCAGTTGCTCTGGCCGCTTATCGTGACAAGACGTTTGGGTCAAATTGTTAGCCAGCTGAGCTGAGCTGAGGCATATCAATTCAGCTGTAATGCCATGTTGATTGTGGCTAACACACACACACTTATGCACACACACACAAGTGACCACAATTCAGTTGCCCAAATGGCTACACGTGTGCTCGTTGTCCAAGCATTTCGACTTGTGCCTACCCCAACCACAGAACTAACCACACACCCACACACTCACACACTCACACTCACACACACACACTCACACCCACTCACTTGTAACGCATTCGTCTGCGTTTGCAATTTAGTTCCTGGAAATCATTCCTATATTCATACAATTCGGGAGCAGCTTGGCCTGTGCCCAAATCGTATCACGTACGCTTTCAAACAATTATTGTCCTTGCCCACCCACACACAGAGACCCACTCACACCCACACCCACAGCCACACATTTATTATGCAACATGTCGTGAGATATACTCAAATTTGATTTGAGTCCTTGTCGCCATAAATTGAGGCTTGCAACTTTAATCAGCACATCGAGGATAGTTTCGATAGTTTCTCGATTTGTCCATAAATTTCGGCGTTACGCTCTGTTTGCGTTTTAATGGCCACGCAATTAAGACAAATCGCCATCCAAACGACCCAAATAGATTCAAATATTTTCAGAGCTGCTGTCCAATAAATAAACACACGCCTCTGGATGCCGCTGCCAGTGAAGCAAAGTTTCTAGACCAGTGAACAGTTCAATACCAAAAATACCAAAAAACAACAGTGGAAAAAAGAAACAACAACAACAACAATCAACAGAATTTATTATTCACAATTGTGTCGGTCATAGTGTATTCGTACTGTAACGTAGTAACGGACGTAACGAGCAGTCGAGCGTGAAACCAATTGCAAACAGGTAAACTATGAATGCAAATATTTGCAACATGCAGCGTCACACGCGGCGTATGAGTGATGCAGCCAATGACGATGACTCAACTGCAGCTGAGGCGGTCGCAAATCGGTTGACGGCTGCAACAGCAGCCGTAACAAGTCAACAAGTTCACTATTTAACACTGCGGTGTGACTATTGACGCAGTGAAAGTTGCTAATTGTTTGCCCAATATGCACTGCGCCGCGCACTGCAGCATTAGCTAACCGCTCTCGATTGCCGCATATGCGGAAAAGAAAGTCACAGCCGAGCGGCCCACTCAGTGGCCAATAGTCGCCCCACCAGCCTGCCCCGGCCAATACATTAATCGGTCAAGCGGCACAGCTCACGTACACAGGCACAGGCCAGGCACAGCTAATCAGCATGTCAGGCGGGCAGTCATGCGTAGTTATTACTGTAGCCAAAGCAGTTGCTGTTGCCACGAATGCCCTGTTGAAAGTGTTGAGAAGGGGTAGATAAGCTGAACGTAGTTAGTTATTGGCACTCTACTTTTATATACTAGTAATCTGACTTGAATATCAATTAAATAATTGATTAAAAATGTAAAAAAAAGTAAATAAATAAATAAACATATGTGTAGACGAAATTTTTAACTGGCACAGTATCATAGCTAAAATAAAATAATAATAAAAATATAAAAAAATAAATAAATATAAAATATAAAAATATAAAATATATAAATATATAAAATATATATTAAAAATTAAATAAAATAAATAAAACTGAAAGAAAAAGTAAAAAAAACTACAATAAATACAAAAAAATTTTATTAAAAAAATAAAAAATATATAACTAGAAAAAAGCAGTTCTTTTATAAACAAAAAAAAAATTAATAAACAAAAAAATGAATATATGTATATATATTTAAATTAAGTGTAAAATGAAAAAAAAAAAATTATTTTAAATTATATAGTTTGATTTACCATTTGGCAGTTTAGAAAAAAACAATTCTTTTATAAAAAAAAAAAAAAAAAAAAATAAAAATAAAAATATATATATATACATATGTATATATATTTAAATGAAGTGTAAAACGAAAGCACCAAATTATTTTCTTTTATATATAATTTGATTTACCATTTGACATTTTATCCCAGTTAATTATTTCACACACCTCAGTATATAATTAAGCTAAGGTACTACTTTAATTACATATTATTAATTGTGACTTTGTGTATTCTGATTTGCTTAATCTTTATTTGCAAACTGCCTATTTTATACCAAGGTATATAAAACATTGATTCATCAAATGTATACTCTGTGAGCATGCGAGTTGTTGAAAAGTAAATTGAAATTCTAATCACCATGTAGGGCATCTGCTAGTCTATCACACTCGCTACAAGCGCGCCTCAAACTATTCACACTTAAAGTCACAGCTGGCTAGTTGAGTACACAGTGCGAAATGGTTGCGAAAAGGCAACTGTAGAGCCAACTGCGCACGCGCGCAGGCCCCAAGTGTCTCACGGCTGCTTGGCTAGCTAAAACAGCTGAGAGACGCGCTCAGCGCTCAGACAGCTGCAGTGCTCTGTGTACTCTGTACACAAATGCCAGACCGTCTCGCTCTTTCTCTCTCTCACACACTATGCAAAAAATAAAATAAAAAACGTGTTAGACTACGCCGAGTGCGAAACTGAAATCGAAAACCCGCCAAGCGAGAGTCGCTTCGTCTCTGTTTGCTCTGTGCTTTGCCGGCTTTGACGTTGGCCAGGCTTATTTGAGTACCCGTAAGAGGCTCTCGAATACTCAGTTGCGAATTTCATACTAGCCGAGGCGGTCGTACGTGTGGGAGTTCGAATACATTTTGGCACATCAATTCGATTGATAAGCCACAGATCTAAGCCAAACGAGCAACGCGTTAAGTGTGTTAAGAAGTTTCATTCGCAGTCAAACGGAAATTACTCAAGTCAATATTAAGTGAAGTTCTGTGAGCAACTACGAAGAATCGAAGATAATCGAAATAAATACTTTGCGCAAATAGCAACACAAAGATGATCGAGCGACGCAGCCAACTGGATAAGGTAGGCAAAAGTAAATGAAACTCGAGTTGAGGCTGAAGCTAAGTACGGCCGAAACGAACTACAGTTCATTTGATTACGAACTTGATCTCAGCTTAACATTTGACTCTTGCCTGAGGTCAGGCTGGCAATTAATTTGAATTCATTTATCAAAAAATCTAAACGAAATTTAAAGACGACCTCAGAGCTGACATGTTATGTGGGGAGAGAGATAAGAAAATTAGAATATTTGATAGATATTATATAAGATGTATTATTATTATTTATTATTAAATGAGTAGTCAATTGCTTAACAATAATTTCATATCTTAATGCTTGCTTGATCTGCTTGACTGTACTTAAAGTAAAGCAATTCGTGAAGCATACTTCATCTAGGCATCTTCACAGTCTACAGTCTGCTGATAAGCCGGTTTCGTATTATTAACTGTTTTTTATTTATTTATTTAGTTTGTTCTTTTTTTTTTCGTATACATAGTGAGATCATGAGGCAAGAATTATGTTTCTTTTTCATTTTTCGTTTCTTTTCTTTATTTTCCTTATTGTCTCTCAATCTGTAGCCGAGTCTGTACTTGCCTTGGCTCTGGGCATGATTCAGTTTTCAGCTTGAGTCATTTGCATTTGCTGATGATAATGCTTTGAGAGACTGTGATAACTTTTGCTTTTCTTGGGCTCATCTTCAGGTTTAGTAGAATGCTGTGAGATTCTAATTAATGACGTGCCCCGTCCACCTGAGTTGCGTAACTCTGCGGCGAATCGCAGCTGCTGGCCGATATGAATAATTTATGGAGCTCAGAATTGATATCGAGTATATATGTATATGATTAATTCGACTGCGCTGCTGCTCGCCCTCCCCCTCTCTCCTGCTCCAGCAAGTGTTGGGCCACGTTACTTATACCAGCCACAACATTTATAATTATAAATAGCCCGAGCTGAGCTGGCCGAGCTCATTGAGGATGCTCGCAACGAATTTAAATTCTGTGCAGCGTCTTTGTTTAACGACTTCAATTCTTTTTTTCCGCTGATCGATATTTATATACAGATACTTTTATCGATCTGCACTCAATGGACGTCAGCACGCGCGTCACTTTCTGCCATTATTTCGTTCGGTCGCCGCCATTCACTTGGCTGCCTGGCCGGGCCTCTGTGCTCCACGTCACGTAAGCGCATGCACTCGAGCTGGCAATAGAACCTGGTAGCAGTAGCTAGTGGTAGCTAGGCAACAATTACTGCTATGCCAAGCCAATTGGAAGTTAGCATAAGTGGCTGCTACGAGCTGCCTTCTAGATGCTTGCTACGTCTCTCTGCTGGAGGAATGCACGTGCCAGGCGAGTGGAGTATGGAGTGGAGTATTCCACTTGATGCTCGACGAGGCACTCGTCGTCTCTGGTTTGTTTGCCCAGTTTGTTGATTTTAAATGAACGCCCGGCGCACTTTGCACAATTAAGCTAATAGGAAATAATCAGAGCCAGAGCACTGGGAAGCTGTCGAGATGTAGAAAACTCTGGCCATCAGCAGGAATAGACACAGTGTCTGGGAGAGAGAAATACATCCTTATAATCATATACTAAGCGCAAAGGCAAATTGAGTGGGAGGAAATTAGATTAGAATGGTGGAGAGACCCGACTACTCATATACCCTGCAGGCAGCTGAGAGATGTCAAGGAGAGGCTAACTAAAGATGTAAATAAGTATCTACTTGGACGTAATTAGATTAGGTGAGTTAAGGAATGCGACTTGCAAATACCCTGTAGCTAGATTTAGAAACCATGGATAGACCCTGCGAAGGGTTGAAAGGTATATATACAACAGCTAAAAGTAAAATGGAAAATTAGTTAGTTAGACTGAGATTATTGAAAAATTAAACTACAGATACCCAAGAGACTGCACTTAATATATATCATAAAATACAGGCCATATAAAAGAAGAGATAAGGAAAAGTTAGATGAGAATTGCCGATGAATTACTATTAAATACTTTATAGAACCGACCAAGTCTTAAGTTACCCATCAGCATACTCCACTGACCATCTCCAACAACTACAGGGTATACGAACAGTGAATAGCAACATTACAAGCACTGAGAGCTCTTCCTGACTATAGTCAGATAGTCGTACGCAGATGCTAGACAAAGTTCATTAACCAAGCGCAAAGCAATTAAACAAGTCACACAACTTGATGATTGACAGACTGACAGAGTGACAGACAGACAAGCTGGCCTAATCCCATCAGAGAAGTTGGCCAACGGCTTTTGATCGGATCTGAAGTTGATTTTATGAGAGGCAACACAAAACAATGTATTGCTACACATTGATTGTTGGCCCGGCTACTTGTACTGCCTAGTACTAGACGGAGCTTAAAACATGTTCTGTTCATGCATAGTCTTTAAACTTGGCTCCATTAAAGCCATTTCAAAATACATAATTATTATTTCATGCCGTGATTTGTTGTCAAGAGAAGTTTTCTGCAGATAAAATATGTCAAATTCCACATTATTATTTATGAAAATTATTTTTAGATCTGTATTTATTATAAAAAGGTCTCACTATTCATCACGCTTTAATGAGTTTTTTATGTACGAAAAAGGGAAGGGAATGGCATAATTAATATGTATTAAAATATGCATTGATTTATTTTGCACGTGCCGCATATTGAACATTAAGCAAATTACTTCTTTTGTTTTTTTCCCACTCTTTACTTTACATATGTACATAGAGTACTTACTTGTTATGCCCGCTCAGGAAATGTGAAGAGAGCATATTGGTTTAGCGTACAAAGGTGCTCTAAGTTCTATGCTTGAGTCTGTTGAAACATTGAAGGAGTTTATTTAGAATTTAGAGAGAGATACTTATATAATTGTCTGCATAGAGTTTGTTCAGTCTCTTAGGATACAATTACTATCCCTCAACATTTATGCCTTGGGCGAGCATCACGTCAGTCGACTACAGCTTTTAGTTTTACAAATTCTTGATCGGGTTTATTTAAATATGCACATTAATTACGGTCTGACTGAGACAAGTTGTAAATGGCAGAACATTTCTATAGAGTTTACTATGCTTTGTGTACCTACAAATTGTTTTTTTTACAGCAATCGCTGTCTGTGTGTGTGTGTGCACGTGGCGTCTGTGCCGCTGTGCGAGTGGCTGTACAATTAAATTATTGCAAATTAATTACATTGATTATTTGGGTATTAAGTGGCTGTCATTTCTGCGGCTGTTGCGGCAAATTACGGCGTGTGCACATCAATCTCTGTATGTGCCAGAGGGCAATACACACAAACACACACACAGACACATACATCTGCCTCTGTGTGTGGCAAATGTGATTGCTACTGAATACTATTAATTAGCTGCTTGATTTACGATGTGATTGATCCGCCCCCACTCCGCTCAACTTAGCTTAGCGTAATTGTAGTTTCACTTTTTATTGAGCGCACTTTATCTTCATCATCCCCCCGTGCGATTAAATATACTTAATTAAGTCCTTAAGTAGCTGCAATTAAGTGGTCAAAGTTAATTGAATCTACACTCGTTTACTGTTGTTGTTGTTGTTTCGGTTTGGTTTTGGTGTTGTTTGACTGTCTGGCAACTCCGCCCAGAACTGGAGCATTCCGCGCAAAAGTTGAAAGTCGTGGCAGAGAAAACACACACAAACACACACACACACACAGGCTGAATAAACAAATAGCGAATATGTGCATAAAGAAAAAGACAAGTAAAGCGGGCTAAAGCAAACAAATGATGCAAAACAAATTACAAAAGTTACTTCGAAGCTCGAACTCAACATTTTACAAGTTAAAGAAAACGAAGAGAACGCCAATAATAATAGAAATCAACATGTTCTAGAGGCCCTATACACACACACACACACACACACACACATCGATAACTAAACACATAATCATTTATCTTCAAACAATTGCGCCGTGTTTCTTACACGTGTTCGAGTTCAGGTTCAGGGCTTTGTAGTAAGTAGAGTTTTGCGACTGAGTAGGGCGACTCAGCTGCTCGCGGGGGGCGGGGTAGCTCAAAACAAATCCGACTATCTGCGTTACAGTTCGCGCTTTTCCGCAAAAAGTTCACGTTCGGCGACCGATGGCAACAAAAAAAGTATGAGAACAAGAATAATAACAAAGCAGTATAAGTAAATCAAAAATAAACGCGAAAGAAAATAACGCCACAGCAATAGCAACAACACAAGAAACCGAAACAGCAGCAGCTGAAGAGTGTGTGAGTGAGAGGGAGAGCGATAGCGAGAGGAGAGTAGTGGCAGCTGCATAAGCAAAGGCAGGCAAGCATAAGCAGAGAGGCAGAGTGGCAGAGCCAGCAGAGCGTCGACGAAGAGTGAGAGGCAGCGGCAAAGCGCAAATGAAATAAAAGCAAAACAGGTAATAAAATATAAAAAGCTGACCGTGAGCAATGTCAGGGGCTCATGGCGCTTAGGCGCCGTTCATTTGTTTGTTGCGTTTGGCCTGGGACTGAGCGCGAGTGTGACCAGAGTGTGCGGTGAAAAACCGTTCGACGCGAGCGCGCACACAAATTTATGCATTGTCAGCAGACAGAGAGACGCAGAGACAGACAGACGGGCAGACAGGCAGACGGATAGACGCGCAATGGAAACAATGAAACGGCAACAGCAGCCGGTTGAGTTAAATTCAATTTTACGCTCTGTGCCGCTCTGTGCTCTGTTATTTGGTTTCTAGTTCAAGTTTAGGGTCAATAACTGTCGATTGCATTTTAACTAAGTTGGTTTGGCCAGCAGCTGTTGCGGCTACTGTTGATTTACAATTTGTAAAATTGGCAAACAAACAGTTTACGACAGAAGCATAGAAAATGGCAGAGCGTTGAGCTCCGACTGAAGCTCAACAACGAAACGTGCACACTCTTTCCACTGACAATGGACGTGTCCAACATAACATGTGATAGCTAATAGCCAGTTCCCAAGTCTCGCTCATAAGCAAAGTTGTCTATGGACAACACTTTATCTTAACATGCAAATTGTTGTCAAC